GATTATTTCCTTGGTGAATTAATCCCCCCCGGCTATTATTTCCTTCGTGAAATAATACCCGTCAAATCGTGTAGATCCGACCGGATCTAGATCGCGCGGTGGTCCACGGATTAACCCCGGCGTTGGCAAAGAACTCACACAAGCGAGCGACCGCAAAACAGGAGCTCGTGATTCGTTCGAAAGGAAAGTTGTAATCTTTTTCTTTTTCTTTGATTTCGTTGTAACCGGATCTAAAAAAGACCGGATCTTTTGTAACCGAAAAACAATTACTTGAGATAACAATGAATTCAATGAAGGCAATTTTTACCGCGAACAGAGAGGTTCATGATCTGCAATAAGACACTTCTGGACTTGGGAGCCAGCGTCAACCTCCTTCCTTATTTAGTCTATCAACAGCTAGCAGGGTAGATTCGCTGCTACTACCTTCCCTAGAAGATGGAGAACCTCTTGCAGGAGAGGGTGTAGAGTGTGGAGGAGTTGGTGGTGTACCTAGTGATGGTTCCTCATGTAGAGACTCATCAGGTTCATTCACCACGGGTTGATCTTCATTGCTCCAGTTCCATGCTTCTTCTTTATTAAAGACAACGTCTCTACTAACAACTAGTTTCTTGGTTAGTGGATTGTAGAGCTTGTATGCCTTCGACTCCTCGCTATATCCGATGAAAATGCATTTTTCACCGCGATTATCAAGCTTCTTCCTTTTGAATTCAGGTACTTGAGCATATGCAACACAACCAAAAATTCGCAGGTGTGCCACACTAGGCGTGTAACCGCTCCATGCCTCTTGAGGTGTCTTGTTCTTCACTATCTTTGTGGGACATCGGTTGAGCAAATAAGTTGAGCACGCCACGGTTTCTGCCCAGAACTGCTTTGGCAATCCCTTTTCTTTGAGCATGGTTCTTGTCATGTCGAGGATGATCTGGTTCTTTCTTTCTGCAATGCCATTTTGCTGTGGTGTGTAGGCAGTAGTAAACTGTCTCTTTATACCTTGCTCTCTACAATATTCTTGAAACAGATTTGAGGTGTACTCACCACCTCGGTCAGATCGAAGAATTTTTAGCCTGTGGCCGCTCTCTGCTTCAACTAAAGCTTTAAAATGCTTGAATGTAGTAAAGGCAGCAGATTTTTCTTTAAGAGTGTACACCCACAACTTTCTACTGAAGTCATCAATGAAAGTTATAAAATATCTATTACCTCCCAAAGAGACGGGATCGATCGGTCCGCAGATGTCGGTTCGGTGGATCAATTGTTGGTCGACCTTGTACCATACCAGCTGTATACAGTAACTTCAAACCGCTGAAGTTTAGATGGCCGAAGCGAAGATGCCACCTCCATGACTCATTCTCCATGAGTCCTTGAAAACACTTGTCGACTTTCGTGTTTAGATGCAAGGGAAACATGCGGTTCCTTGTCATCTTAACACAAGCTATGAGGCCTCCATTTGTATTTTTCAACCAAAGATGGTTGTTCTCCATATATACTTTGTATCCCTTTCCGAGTAATTGACCGATGCTAAGAATATTACTTTTCATGTTAGGAATATAGTAAACATCAGAAATATACTCGGGCTTACCACCCTTTTGGTAGATTTTAATCTTCCCTTTGCCTTCAACCGGGAGTTTTGAAGAATCTCCGTGGCTCACACTTCCATGAACTCCTTCTGCGAGTTCCATGAAAAGTTCTTTCTTCCCGCACATGTGGTTGCTAGCACCCGAGTCAAGGTACCAAGCATCATTCTCAACACTTGAATCATCATTAGCAAGAAGAAGCGTAGAGTTGTTACCCACATCATTTGTTGCTTCGGCAAGATTGGTTTGGTCTTCAGTTTTGTGCCAACAATTTGAAGCATAGTGCCCAAACTTGTGACAGTTATAGCACTGAACATTCTTGTTGCTTCCACGCCCAGGTGTGGATCTTCCACGATTGCTTCGTCCTCATCCTCTAAAGCTTTGGGTCTCCACTTGATTTTGAGTGGTTTGCTATTGGGGACCACGTCCCCTACCTCTACCACGACCACGACCTCTTCCTTGTGAGCCTTGATTACTTAGAGTCAATGTTGACTCTAGTACTTGCTCCAAAACTATGGAACTAGCCTTCTTTTGCATTTGTTGTTCATGAACTAGGAGAGATCCTAAGAGCTCCTCTATTAAGATCTCCTCCAAATTCTTTGACTCCTCAATTGCCGCCACCACGTGCTCGAATTTTGATGTGAGGGATCGGAGCAACTTCTCCATCACTCGGATGTCCTCCATCTTCTCTCCATTTCTCCTTATTTTATTCACAATTAGAAGTAATCGTGAATAATAATCGGAGATTTGTTCTTCATCTTTCATTTGAGCGGCTTCAAGATCACCCCTCAAAGTTTGGAGGCGAATTCGCTTCACCCACTCGACACCTTTGTAGATGGTCGCAAGGATTTCCCATGCTTCCTTGCTTGTCGTTGCTTCGGCAACTCTCTCAAAGGTAGACTCGTCCAACCCTTGATAGAGTAGAAAACGAGCATTGCTATCCTTCTTTCTTTGTTCTCTGAGAGCCTTCTTCTCTTCGGCGGTATAGGTGGCTTCTACTTCTGGGGTAGGTTCCGTGAACCCATCAATGATCAGCTCCCACAACTCTTGAGAACCAAATAAGGCTCTCATTTGGATTGACCAACTCTCATAGTTATCTTTCAATAATTTGGGCACTTGAGAATTGACAAGATTATTTATGGTAGCCATGAGAAGAAGAGAGAATGAGAAAATTGGATCAAGTGGCTCTGATACCACTGATGACTCTTAAGTTTACGAACTTAGAACTCTTTCAAATGAAGAACTCACTTATATTTCTTTAATTTTCTCTCTTCATATCAAACAAGGATTACAATAGCCCTTTATATAGGCTTCAAAAAAAAACAAAAACGTCTAGGCATACCAATAGTAAAAAATTAAACTCCTATTTTAATACCATAAAGATAAATGTCATAAATGAGTAAGTTACTCTTATTCTTCCATAACCTATGTCTCTTCTCCTTCTAAACTTATGATCCTTGCACTTCTAAAACTCATTTATTCTAGCATTTTAATTTGATATTCCAACAGCACCTCCCCAGCGGCCTTTTGTATGGATCTCTGAACCATTCTACTTTAGAGGACTAAATAGTCTGGCCTAATACTATCCAACACTTTGAACCAAACACCTCATTACTTTATTTTAATGGATAAAGACTTATTATCTGGTGATAATACCCAATCCAACATGGCCTTAGAGGCTTACTTTTGGCTGACAAAGGCTGAAGTTTGTCAATCTAATTCACTCCATTCCCAAGTTGCAATCCAATTCATTCGTACCGATTTGCGGTGGGTCTCTGATCCGCTAAACTGGCAACTTGAGAAATAAAGAAGAGAACTAAGATTTAATTGATTTAACGAGCTTTTTGTTGGATTTAATGTAAGTATTTAGCCTTTGCTCAATAGTTTTTAGTTTGTACTTTCTTTGATGCTGACTTTAAGGATGTGTTTGGCAAACTGTACAAAACTGGATCAGGATCAGTATTGTACTAAACCTTTTTTTTCTTTTTTCTTTTTTTGACCAGTCCCCCGGTCCAAAAGAAAACTGATTTGGAGGCCATATTCTAGCCCTCTTGTTTGCCAAATAAAAAAAATTTCAAAACTGGGCAGGTTTGAACCCGGCCAATTATTTTAGCAGAGAAGAGCCAAAAAGTGCTGTCCATTGCTTTGCAATATCTAAGAATGATCACCTCCAAATTCTCTCTATCTCTTAATGGTACTTTGTATGGATACTTCAAATGAGCTAGAGGCTTAAGGCAAGGGGATCCCCTCTCACCATACTTATTTGTTCTTGGGATGGAGTACCTGTCAAGAAAATTAAATTCTCTCAAAAATGACAGTCTCTTCAGATACCATCCCAAATGCTCAAAGCTCAAGATAACCCACTTATTTTTTGCTGATGATTTGTTGCTCTTTTGCAAAGCTGATATTCATTCAATAGCAAAACTGAAGGAGTGCCTCTCTGAGTTTAGTAAAGTTTCTGGGTTAGAAACAAATCCAAATAAATGTTCTATATACATGAGTGGCATTGATAATAGTCTAAAGCTTCAGATTTGCTCATTGCTCAATTTTTCTGAGGGTGTTCTACCAGTGAGGTATCTGGGTGTTCCCCTGATCTCGAAAAGACTGTCATGCATGGATTGTTCCCCCCTGATCAATAAAATATCTGAGCAATTCCAATGTTAGCAAAATAAGAAAGCTCTGTCCTATGCTGGTAGACTGCAACTTATTAAATCAGTTATACTAGGTATCCATCTCTTTTGGACAAGCAACTACATACTGCCAGTCAAAGTCTTAGAGAAAATTGATAGTTTATGCTCTGATTTTCTATGGAATGGCAAAATTCATCTTGTGTCCTGGTCAGATATCTGTCAAAGTAAAAAACATGGTGGGCTGGGAATATATGCTGCTAAATTCTGGAATCAAGCTGCAGTTTTGAAGTTGTTATGGTTGATTCACTTGAAGAAAGACATGCTATGGATTAAATGAGTTCATGAGAACTACCTAAAACAAACTAGCATATGGCTAGTTCAAGCCAAAGTAAATGACTCTTGGATGTGGAAACAGATAATAAAAATCAGGGATAAGATGATTGGAAAATTTGACAGTGTGACAAATCTGCAGAATATCATTGCAGTGAATTGTTCTGATAGCAAGGTTCATCTTTCCTCTATTTACAATGTGCTTATCCACCAAAATGTACAAGCTCCATGGTATAAAACAGTCTGGGATGGATGGCATTACCCAAAGCATTCTTTTATCCTATGGCTTGTCATTCATCAAAGATTGTTAACACAGGAAAGGCTATGTCGCATGAGGGTGCTTGACACAAACACCTGCACTCTATGTTCTCATCAGCAGCCGGAAACTTGCAAACATCTATTTTTTGAATGTGATTATTCAGTTTACATATGGAATAGAGTCATGGACTGGCTGAATTACAAATGGAGATCTTGTACCTGGGATAATGTTGTTGATTGGTATACCTTGAGGTTAAAGGGTGAGGGATTTATGAAGAAGCTTAAGAGAATGGCTTTGTCTGTTTCAGTCTATGCTATATGGCAAGAGAGAAATCGGAGGATCTTCCAATCCATTGCAAGAGGGCCTGAACCTGTTTTTAGATCTGTGAAGATTACTATTCTATCAAAAATTCTAAATGATGACATACCTGTCTATATAAAGGAAAAGATAGAGCATATGTAAATTTTTCTCTTTCTTTGTTACTTCCAGCAAAGCTGGAATGAACTGATGTACAAATTTTTCCAAATTGGTAAATGAATACATATTTTTCATTGACCAAAAAAAATATCTAAGAATGATTCATATGTCATATATCCACACCATGCGGGAGGATTTCCCTTTTCAATATCAAGACATTTAAGGTTCCTGATTTTCAGTTCTTATTTTATGTTGTTGCTATACTTTGGTGTTGCCTTATGGTGTTTGTATTTTGTATATCGCAGACAACGGCAAATTTCACGCTACCCCCTCCAGCAGCCACGTTTCTTGCATTCCATCCCGACAGCAACATCATCGCCATAGGCATGGATGATTAGTCAATTCTAATTTACGATGCTCAACTTTTTACGGTTCATCTGTACGTTTTTTAATCAAGGAATATTAATTTCTGGATATTCATGCTGATGATAACCTGATGACTTTCTTTTATTATCTCATGCAGCTTAAACACAAGCTTAGAGGACATCAAAAAAGTATAACTGGCCTTGCATTTTCTAATGCTCTAAATATTCTTATTTCATCCTAGAAACAGCCTCTTCGCATGCCGGGGTAAGGCTGCATACATCTGATCCTCCCCAGAGCCCACAATGGTCGGAGCCTCGTGCACTGAGCTACCCTTTTTTTAATATTCTTATCTCATCAGAAGCAGATGCTAAGGTTTCTTACAACAGTGAAAATACTTCTCTTAATTTTCGAAGTAATAATGATGTGGAAATATATTGGTCAGTTCCGTCCAGTGTTTGCCATGCTTTAATAATTATCCTTTTCTTTTGTTCTCTGTTAACTATCTGAAAATATGTATATGACTCTGCATTTCTGCTTTAATAATACAAGAAAGTTACAAACGATTTGATCACGTGATTATATCTTAAACTTTTTTATCATAGCTGTGCATATGGGGCATGGATGACTGGAAGAAACAAGCTAGTAAATTTTTAGTGGCTCCATTTTCACTAGGATCAGATTTATTTTTTGGTTGTACGTGAGACATAGCTTGCTACCTGTGAAGCACCTAAACTGGAATGTCTAGAACAGGTGAGCTGTTTGCGTGCTTCACCTTTCCAAAACCTCATCTTTTGTAGAGTTAACATCTATGCAAATGATTGTAAACCTTTGTTCCAGATGATGAACACCCTTGTGTTCTCTTATTGTGTATAGTGCATGATCTAAATAAGTAGATCGAAAGTGGAGCACTTGTATTGGTCCTAGTAACAGTCTTACTGAGGTACTGACAAACTCTTAGCAATTGACGTGTTCATCCATTGCCAAATTAATTGTAATTCCAATAACCTGCTTTCTTTGACAAATATCCAGCCATAAATATACCCTCTTAATTTTTGCTTTTATTCTTTTTTCTGTCAAGTTAATTTTAAATATGCAATTACCTTAAGCTAAGCAACTAATGTGGTAATATATGCATCAACCTGGTGGTTGGCACTAAAGGATTTATGTTAAACCCCTCTTGTGTGCACATAACTTCCTGGATCAGATCCCAATCGTCCATCCAGAAGAGGATCAGATAGATGGATATAATTGTAAACTTTGGTCATTCTTTCGGCATTGCCCTCTCAATTTAGTGTCTTGCTTCTCTAGAGGTGGTAGTAGACCTGATAGAATGAATCATGACCGGAAATGATGTTTTAGTGAATAGTCATATTATGGCATTGTTTGTATTTTTTTTTTCATAGATCACTCAGTTTCTTGAGTTCTTGATGTACATAAACTTCCATACGGTTTAATGAATAAAAGCTTTCATTGACCAAAAAAAGAATAGTCATATTATATTAAATATTTGTAATCCATGACCACGCAGAGATTGTTATGTAATGACCTTATTTGTTTATGAAATTGTTGTATTCTGTTATCAATTGTCGAAGTTAAGTATCTTCATAGGTCCTCAGAAATGTATACTTTATGTGCATGTCTTAATGTCTGCGTACACAAAGTCTTTGTTCATCTCTATATGCACTGTGGTTTTTTTATCACCAAGTTTTGTTGGGTTATAATTCTACTCTTTTCGCAGTGGTCACCCCAAGAGGTTTCCATCAGACACATGCAGCATTTTCTTATGATAGCAAAATGATATGTACAAGTTTCAAAGACGGAAGTGTGGTTGTTTTACTTTAACACTTAGACCGAGGTGTCGGATACGCCCCACAGCCTATCTGCATCAACATAGGTATTGATGATTTTTACTGTTAATGATTGTACTTTTAAAGGTATGATCATTTGTAGATGCAACCCCTGGGGTATAGCTACTTATCATCCACGATTTATTTATTGGCAAACCCACCCCCTGGCTCAATGACAGTGTTAATAACCTGTTAGTTTTTAACTGGGGCAGTTTTTTTGCAGGTGGCACTCATTCCCGCATGAACTTAAAAACTAATGAGGAAAAATGTCATGAGGGTCATAGGGTGTATGTGCTAGTAAAATGGAACTGAGATAAGTAGTTATAACCCCATCATTTGGAGGAGCATCTGCAAATAATCCTACATGCTATAGCCATATCTTATCAAATTGAAATTTTCAGGCTTTTGAAGTTAATAAGAGTTCTAAAAGTTTAATTGCAAGAAACAACAAACAACATAGGTTCAAGAAAAGGATATGTATCAGTGACAAATCTACTGAAGTAAAAAGTATTTTTCTCCCATTTATAAAGAAAAGGATATGTATTAGTGACAAATCTACTCACGTAAAAAGTATTTTTCTCCCATTTATAATTGCAAAATCATACTTCGGATATGTGTCGGTGAAAATTTTACTCTAGTAAAAAGTAATTTTCTCCCGTTTAAAATTGCAAAAGCACACTTTTCCTCTTCACCTAAGCTAGCATAAATCTCATATTGTTACCTGTGCTCTGAACCAGATCCTTGATTATTATTGTCTATGTTCCATCAATCATAACTTACTGAAACCAAAACTTTAGTGATTATTTGTAGCTCCAGCGTGTACCCTGTCTGCGTTGCTGCTCATCCATCTATATCAAATCAGTTTGCACTAGGACTAACCAATGGCAGCATCCATGCGCTTGAGCCTTTAGAGTAGGAAGGAAAATGGGCAACTGAGCCTAGACCAGAAAACCTTGTTTCTGATCAGCCTTCAAGGTGAGGACAATAAAAACTATTTACTTTGTTGATAGCTTTACCTCTCCTCTTGCTTAGCACAAAATCTCACCAACCAATTGCCAGAAACGAGGGCGTACCAGGTTCTCACAGATAGAGCACCTTCAAACTTGAAATCATTACAAATTTTTTAACATCGACTATGCCTTGACGCCATTACAAAATTTTCTCTTTCAATTATAAACATTACCAAGTTTGGTGACTCAAACCTGTCGTTTGAGAACTAGCAACGTACTTACTTTCAGATTCTTGCTTGAGAATGTGAATGCTGGAGTTTCACAACATTGACAGGCAAATATATTTCCTTGGGAGTGGCGAGAATGTGTTTTCCTAAAGTATAGAGAAAAATATCAACAAATTGTTCTTTTAGGTTTGATATAAGTTGTTTTATAGCATAGCTACTGTAGGCATCATTCCTACGGTTGGATAATATTTCGTTGAACATGGGGGTAAAGTAAACATTCGTATTTTACTAGTTGCATACTTTCCTTGCCTTCATTGTGAATGAGAAGCTAATGCTCTTCATTTTTTTTCAATGTTCCGACCTTAATTTTATTACTGCTTAGGGGACAAACAAGTATTGCGTGCTTGCAACCTTGCTATTAGAGCATTAGGTCATAATTCACAAGGAGTTGTTGGGGAACCAAGACTAGTATCCATATCAAATATGACAGATGAATGTTGTTGGGATTTGGCGCCCTTTGTGAGTCATCGTATCTCAACATATCGATATGCAGTTGTTATGGGATAGGGATAGGATCAAGAGGTTAGTGTGATCATATCTCTCGGAGGGTTCACCATCACTCTTCCCCAACTCATAATTCACCAAAGCTGAGGTCACCTCCTTGTAGCTAACAGAAGTTCTTCCGTTGATCATAGTGAGAACAAACGTACCATAATCATACTCGGGCAACGAACACAAAAGTAGCATCGTCTTGTCTTCATCCTCAACCGTGATGTCCACATTGGTCATATCGGAAAGTAGCTTCGTGAAATTATTTACATGCTCCCTAATGGAAACTCCTCTATTCATCTTGAACTGGTAAAACCTCTTCTTCAAGTAAAGTTAATTCTCAATGCTCTTCGTAAGATACTTCTCATTAAGTGTTTCCCACATTCTCTTTGTCGACGTCTCGTTCATCACGTCATAGATAAGATCCTGCGTCAAACATGACCGAATAACTCCACAAGATCTACTATTCATCTTCTTCCAAACTTTGTCCTCTATGTCAGCGGGTTTCTCTTGTAACTCAAGATTCTCCTCCATATTCTTTGCATCCAATGCATCCATCACTTGGCAGCTCCACAAACTGAAATTAATCTTATCGTCGAACTTCGGAACATCAATCTTCGTATTATTAATGCTCAGACTCTATATCGCCTTCGTAAAAGATGAACCTTATGTGATTGCTTTTCCTATGTTATCGATCTACCTCTTCAAATAGGGAATCCTTCACCAAATCCTTCAAACAAGCCTCAAGCCAAACCTGAAGCTCTAATACAACTTGTTGTGCGCGGCGGAAGCTCGAAACCACATGAACAAGAACGAGATAAATCACAAGCAATAAAACAAACACAATTCCAAAGCAAGACAAACGAATTTTACGAGGTTCGGTAAGTTGCCTATGTCCACGAGGTAAGGAGGGTGGAGTTCTTACTATTAGAAATCAAGAGAATACAAATGGAGTTACAAATTTCACAAATATACCCTGAAACAAAGCCTCTAGATCTTTCACAAATCTTCCACAATTGGATGCAACAATCCCCTCTCAAAGACTGCTCAAAACGTCATTGCTTAATCCTAATTAATTAGGATTAAGATTATATATCAACTCAAAA